AACACCCACACTAAAGCTATTGCATAGGAACCTTTGCCCAGGGCTCTCCTAAAAATGCTTTGCAATCTGATAAGGCAGAGGTCACCAGGGCTGCAGTTAGGGTTTGTGTGCTCCTTCCCAACCTTCCTGCAAGTACTTCTCTGGCCATGGCTGTTGTGCATGTTAAAGGTCAGGTTTAAAGGCCTTGTCTTTGCTCTCAGGGTGTGAAGAACAAGTGGTGGGTTCCTGGCAGCCCAAGATGGGCAGTTCTGCTCCTTAAAATGAAAAGTGGCAAGCAAAACCCAGAATGGGCTCTTAAATTATCCTGAAACGGTAGAACTTATGGCTGCAAGAAGCTAGAAGTGTTGGAGGGAATAAAAACACAAACAAAACTAGATGAGACAAACAACACTGCTCAGGGTGAAGAATCACTCTTTTGATGCTGTATTTGCAGCTCCAAGTGTGTTTACTCCTGTGCATGGTGCAGTGTCAGGGCAGGCTTCTGGGTTCACTCATCAATTCCCTGCGTGGCTTTGGGAATTTTTCCATGCCTTTGTTTTTTACCATGTGCAACCCAGGATGAACACCTCTCCAGGGTAATTAATGAACCGTGAAGCATTTTGATGTCTTCACAGGGAAAATGCTGGCCAGTGGAGGGTGTGATGGCTGTGGGAAAGAGATATAAGCCTTCATCCAGCCCAGGGCACAGCCAGGATCTGGGGCTAGCAGGACTTCAGGCAGTGTGTTCAAGGCCACTTAAGTGAAACTTTCTGTGGGTCTGGGACAGTAGTCAGCACTGAAATGCTACCCTAACACCGCGGTAGCTAAGCAAATGCATGTGAAACCCTCTGGGCAAGCTGTTGTTGAAGGAAAGCAAGTGCAGAGAGAGAGAGCAGTGCAGGAGAGGGTGGCTGAGGTCCTTGGCATAGTGTGTGCTCCCTGTGATATAGGCTGGCCCTCTTGTGCTAAGTGAGTGCTACTGACTCAATCCCAACCTACAGCCCGGATATGCTTTGGGGCTCTTCAAAGGGATAAAGATGTATTTTTAACTACAGGCAGCTGCCTTTTTTTGTGTGGTGCTTTTTTCTTCATGTAGCTCTAGAAGTGGCAGGTTGTTTTTAAGCCCCTCTGTTTCTTGCTGTCTCAACAGAGGTTCCTAGAGGTCTCAAAGCAAATTCCCCAGATTTCAGCACTGGAAATTGGTAGCCGCTGTTGAAAATGTTGGCGAGACTGTGCAGCTCCCTACAGACATCAGTTGATGGCCATTTGAATACATTTTCACCTTAGCCAAGTCCTTGCCCTGTTAAAACCAATGGGAATTTTCCTTGAAGAAGCCCATAAAGAAATCATTTTCTTAGCATGAAGAGAGCTGTTTCATGGGCTTCACATCAGCATTCAGGAGAACTTCAGCTATCTGCTTTGATTCCTGCCACACTTGTCCCACCCTTCACAAATCTCTCTACCTTTTGATCCAGAATAGCACAGGAGATGTTTTCCACATGCCATAGTAAAATGGAAGAACTATAAAACATAATTAATTTGGAGTTTGGCACCAGTCCATTCACAAATATATTTAGTGTGAATTGAAATTGGTCAGCGAAAGGGCGTTTGCCAGGTTGACAAAAAGATTAGTGTTGTGTATCTGAGGCAATTGTATACCTGCCCATCCCATGCCAGTAGGGTTTGGTGGGTGGCTTAGTTGGTTCATGGACAGTCATAAGCAAGTATGCACAGCTCTGCTTTTGGGCAGTGTTAACAAGAATTATCTGGCTGAAAAAGGTGTTGTTTGGCTTGTGGCATGCTCTGTTCTCCTGACCTTGAGCCTTGATGTATCTGCTCTTGTCATCGCTACCCAGCCCAGTTGCTCTTTGAAATGTGGTTCATCATACCTGATGCTCAGCCTCCTCCTGTGAGCGCAGCTTGTCTGTGAACGAGATGCCAGTGCTTTGCACGTGAGGCCAGCCCCTCCTGTCCCATCTCCCTTTCCCAGTGATTGAGTCATCCCTGTAAGCCCCAGGTCAAGAGAGCTCCTAAGAGCAGTGCTGGATTTGGGAGAGGGAAGAGCTGTGATGGGGCTCTGGCACTAGCCCCAGGTGGATCAGTCCAGACTGGCAACAGGATGAAGGTATGGTGCATCGCAGTTGGCTTGGCCTTGGAGAAGAGAGCTTTCGGTCCATAGCAGCTAGATGTTCCCGGCCTCTGCTCCAGGCTTGCTCCTATTATGGTGCCTGGGGAGCCAAGACCAATCTTTCTGATCCCTGGGTGTGTTCATGCACACTCTGCTCCCATCAGTGGTTTTCTTTGGGCTGATATTTGTTAGCATTGGAAAGTGGGAAAAATGAGTGAAAATATTATCAGAAGCAGGTTTTGTGAATGAATCAGCCAAAAAGAGGCTTACCAGCGTGCCTTCATTTACTAGCTCAGTGCTTGTTTGGGCAGATGTCTATATATTTTAGTTGGAGGCAGGAAGGAGAGAGAATCGATGGGAGAAGGCACCACTTCCAGTTTGCTGCTTTTCTGTCTGGTTGTACCATTGGTTTTCTGAATGAAGAAGGGGACTGTAATGTGTCTGAGATGCTGCCCTGCTGCTGCGCTTGTTGGTCTGCTGTTGTTGACAGCTTGGTGGGACACTGAGGAGAGAAGCACAAAAGATGTCAGGCTAAAACCCTTCCAAGCAGTTCACTGAGAATCAGAGCCTGGCCAGCCTTGCCCGTCTTTTACATGGTGCTTTTTCATTTGATCCTGTCTGAAGGGCGGCGTCATGGCCTTCACTCTTCTCACTATGTGTTTCTAATTAACAGGGAGACTGGTGTATAAACAGAAGATTCCTGCTCAAAATATTCCTTGTCCGGCTCCTAGGATGACGGCCAGACAGCAATTGCCAGGTGGAAGCCCAGACTTTGAGCTCGCCCATCTTGGCTATCAGACCTGGTCCCAGTTCTCATCTGGAAGCAGTATTGAGGAAATTCGTGGACTTTGCCAGATTGGTTTTGCCCTGTGTTTGCTTTTTCAGTTGCTACCTAAGCAGCTATAAACCTGCAGACCAAACACATTTAGTATTTCTGGGAAGTGGGACTATCCGGGTATTAGGAGATCTGAGGCCAGTATGGTGAGGAAGTTCAAAAGGGTATTGGACACATCCATTGAGGGATGAGTTTGTTGGTAGCTTTTAAGTCCTGTGGGTCAGATGAAGTCTCCAGCCATGAAGGTGCTTTTCCTGCTGGTCCGCAGCACACTGGTCCTTCTGACGGGTGTCCCTTAGCAGCTGCTGCTGATCTCTTGTGGCTGGCATGCTGGGCTGGGGTGGCTCTTCGATCCAGCCGTTCTCTAGCCATCGGTTTGCAGGCAGCTGCACATTTGCTCAGTGAGTGCAGACAAAACTCTTCTTGCAGTTCCTCCTGTGTAAGCCTGGGGTTGTAACATCTGAAAAGAGCTTGGAAAGCTGTGGCAGAAATCAAACACTCGTTATTAACGGTTTTTCACTCTTTGTCATGACAGTAGAGCTATGGCCTGACAAAACTTCACAACGCAGCTTCTGAAAAAAGGAAATGTTAAAAACCTATAAATGTTCTGTGTGCTTGGGCTTCCAAGAAGCAGGTGAGAGAAGTAAATTAGGCATTGTGATACGAGCAAAAATATTGCTTGCCCTCCGTTGTGCACAGTTTGATGTGATCTCTTTATTTCTATATTAAGTGCCTGATTTCTGGAGTGCTGGAAAGCTGAAACTGGAGGTGCTGGAGAAAATGCTGATGTTGAGAGGCTAAGCATTAGAGTTCCTTCTTGGTATACGCTAAAAGACACTTCATGTTTGTCACCACTGTAGGACCAGAATGGCCTGGTCTGTCACTGATGTGGGCCCTGTGGAGCTCCTATATACAGAGATATATGCAAAGATGTACTAAGCCTGGGTTATTGTGGCGAAAGGTGATGTGCAGGGGTTGAATCCTAATTTGGCCTGGAAAGGACCACTAGAAGTCTTGGTCCAAGCCCCTGCTTAAATCAGAGCCAGCTTAATGTTAGATCCAGCTACAGTGTTAGATGTGCTTGCTCAGCCACATAAGACTGGGGACTAAGGAGGGGTTAGCTGTCACCTTCTGGGCTCCCTGGAGCAAGTCGGAGGAATTGAGATCTGTCCTCAATGCCACTGCAAAGGCCAGAGGGACCGATGTCTGCAGCATCCTGACCGCTGCGGCCTACTTTGGCAGGGATCACTCTCAGAAACAGCAGCCAGTGAACCTGGAAAAGGCACAAAGGAGAGAGTAGGGGAGGTTAAAAAAAGTCCAGTGTTTTATCCTCAGGTTTCTGTTAACTGGCTTTGAAATGGCTGAATTAGCTGGGGTTCTTGCAGCTTGCAGTGGTGGCAGAGTTGGGCCCAGGCCATGTGGAGCAGTTCCATAGTCAGCAGGAGTGGCCAAATGCAGAAGTAGGTAGAAGCTAAATGAGTAATGTGCTGTATGACAAACAATGTGAAAGACGATACAGCAAGGATGATCACTGAAATTGCAGGATCTCTGAGGGAAATTGGGGTGGCCATAAAACAGAGGAAAGGTATTTTTGAAAGCAGGACTAAGAATTTATTTTAGCACATTAATATGGAGTAAGTATTCCTGGAGATACTCTGGGGGTTGATAGATGGACTCAAGGTATTGTTACTAATCACTGTGGTTTTAAGTTTTGGAGCCGAAGTACACTTGGCATGCTCAGCCCAACTGGATTTGTGATGGGAAAATTACATTCTCTGGGAAGTAATTTGCAAGGTCAAAGAAAAACTAGAAAGAACTTCTCCAGCAGCGATTTCCCCTGTTCCCTAAACTGTCTTTTAGTGTGGTAATAACTCCAGAATGAAAGGATCTATTCTCACCTTCCAGATGAAAGGGCTAATGCAATTTAAAATTTTTGCATGCAAAAAATTTTATGGCTTGGTAACCAGTCACACATGAAAGTGATCCAGGACGGGAGGAACTCGTGAGAGAATGCCTAGCTGAGCTTGACCCTTTCGTTGTCTGCCTTCTTTACCGCAGATAATGGCGATGACCGGTCTGAGAGCATCCTTGCTGAGAACCATGTGGATGGCACTACAGGGATCCTGAGTGGAGCTGGTGGGAGGAAGCCCATGAAGACGGGCATGAAGGAGCTGGCAGTTATGAGGGAGAAGGTGAATGAGCAGCAGCGGCAGATGGGCAAAATCGGCAAGCCTCATCACAACCACGAGGACTCCAAGAAGTCACGGCTGTCGACGGGCAGGGTGAGAGGGCAAGGGATATGGGGAGCTAACAGAGGCTGCTGTGGACTCACTGAGAAATGCTGAAGGCAAAGGCTCAGTGGCATCTGGAACACAGTGTCTTGAAAAGAAAAAAATAGGGAGGGAAATTAAAAAAAAAGGGGGGGGGAGAGGGAGAGAGAAAAAAAGAAAAGGCAAACGTTTGTTTTGCCCTAAAGCTGAGCCCAAGCATACCATCTCATGAACTTTGATGTGCTGGCAGGGAGGCTTTATTTTCATTGTATCTTCACCTCCTAACAGCAGAGCCAGGGAAAAGGGGGTCCTGCTGGCTCGACACATACCTCCTCAGGGGTGTGAGCATGCCCTTTGCCCATGGACTGGCTTTCTCATACCCTTTTCCTGCAAGCGAGTGCTAGGGATAGCCCAAAGGGATTTGGGAATAGGTGTTCGTGGTCTGACTGCTGTAGGGCAGCCATAGTCTGGGTTGAGGGGGCCCAGAGCCCCTGAGGATGGTCTGTGGGGCTGTCACATAGCAGGGAGAGTGCCCAGAGTCCTCCCTGTCCCCTTCTTCCCCGTCTCGTTGCCCTCCAGTCGTTGGCCGTGGTTTCCCTCTAGTGGGCAGCTTGGTCAAGGCAACTAGAAGGGATGGGAAGCCATCCCAAAAGGTCCGTAATACGTGTTTGTGTGAACATACAGGGTGTTTCTACAGAAAGGGGCTTTAAAAGAGCCCTCATCCCTCCAAGAAACAGGTAAAGCAGAGATTCAAAACAAGCTGTAGGCACTGTCAACTGGGAGAGCTCCCACACTGCTGCTCCTTTGGAACAAAAAAAACCCCACCAAAACCCAAACCCAACAAACCAACCCCAGCAACTGCAAAAGTAGAGAGGTGTGGACTCACTCCAGCTCGCATCAGGCATTATTCAACTAGATTGCCTTGGCTGGGAGCTGTGGCTTGGGGCTGCTATGGAGCAAGAGGGATGCCTCCAGAGGCTGGCTTTGCTGGGTGCTCTAACTCCCAGGGCTTCCCCTCCACTTTGAGTGGCACTTCTGAGCCAAAACTGCTTCCCAGGTGCAGGATGCTCATGGAAATACTCCTGGTCTGTCTGGATTAGTCCTGCTTCACATACCCTTTTCACTAGTGGGACCCATGGGAGTGTCTCTGAGGCTTCTCCTCCTCCAGGGCCTGTGAACTGGTGTCATGCTGGCTCTTGGCCACTTGAGGCAGGTGGGAGAGATGAGCACGTCTTCCTGTGTGGATCTCCACATACTGGCATGTGTGGACATGCAACACTGATGTTGGGTGGCTGCAGGTGAAGTCTGCAGCATGACCCAGTTGCAAACCTGTGTCATGAGCAGGTGCACATAGGTGTTCGTCCCTACTGGTGTTTCTGTTGTCCAAACTGTTGACATTGAGTAGTCCCATTGCCTTGATTTTTGTCTTGTTGTGTCTGGGCTCTTTTCAGACCCGTTGTCAGCAGGAGCTGGATCAGGTCCTTGAGCGCATCTCCACTATGCGGCTGCCGGATGAGCGAGGTCCCCTGGAGCACCTCTACTCTCTCCACATCCCCAACTGTGACAAGCATGGCTTGTACAATCTCAAACAGGTAACTGGAAAGAGCTGGCGTCCCAGGGCTGGCTGCACTCCTGGCAGCAGCCCTCAGCTCATCATGCATGTCCACCATGTGCAGCCACAGAGCACGTGCTTGGGCCTGGGCTGATGTTGTACAAATATCACGTTCAGCATGGACAGGTTTAGTAACACCCAGGTGCACCTGCAGCCATGGGCTAGCATGTGAAAGTGTGAGACCCACATCTACATGTGGCTGCAAACAGACCAGAGATGGAGAATCTGTCTAGTTCAGAGCCCCTTCTTTCCCACAAGAGCTGCTTATATGTCCAGGTCTATTTTCATGTGTTTTGAAACAGCTCTTGGCCTGGCTGGGCCCTGCTACAGAATAAAAGCATGGAGGGGCTGATGCTGGCCAGTCTTACAGACAAAGCAGAAGGCACTTTCTCCTGAGGTCAGGAAGGTTTCTAGTGCACTTTCCTGGTTTTCTTCCACAAATCAAGGCTGGTCCCACAGCTCCAGGAGGGATTCCTTCCAGGTGAGATGTGGGTTAGGGTGCAGCATGCTTCTGAAAGTATTTATGGGACCCAACAGGACTCAGATGACTTAATGTGTGTCTGAATTCTGACTTCTTGGCTTTACTAATGTAAAATCAGCAGGTGTCAGCAGCTGAGGCATGGGGGAAAAAAATGCCAGGAAAAATCTCTTGGGCAGCTAAACAGCAGCTTGTCCAGGGTTGACTAGCAGCCACATGTGAATAGTACATGGATAAGAGCACCCTTTATAGCTATGTGTAACTGAGCCTTTGGAGGGGACCCCAGGAAACCTGATTCATGGCTAAGCCTTTTTCTTAGGGCTACTTTTACCACTTGATCAGGAGCATTAAAAAAAAAGGGCATTAAAAAAGTAGATTGTTCTGAGATTATCTCCCTTTGTCCCCTCTCTCTTCCTTGTCCTGCCTGGCCCCTTACACTCTACCTCCCCCTGAAGAGCCCCATGGGCTGGCTGGATCCCCCAGCATGAGCACACTTGAACGGAGTAGATGGAGAAAAGCTGGCAAATTCCTTGTTAAGGAGATGAGCCGTGTCTGGGGAATGAGCCTGGGCAATACAGCAAAGCACTGAGTACTACAAAAGAAAAGTCTTTGCTGCTCCTTGTGCCTGGGAAGCCAGTCAGCCTGTGCTGACAGACTGGTCACTGCTGCAGAGAAAGAGAGGGGACAAAATTTGCTTTCTCTTCTTCCCCCCTTGTTAAGAGCAAACAGGGCAAATATAAAATGATACCCATTTCCCTCCATCTGCGTTTCCAGTGCTCAGCATCAGCTCCTTTTCATTTGCTGGAAAGTGGATGCCAACAAAAGCATTCCCAGTTGCTCCCACCTCCTGTGGGCCAGTACTTGGGTGGAGGGTGCCTGGATGCACTTTCCTGCTGGGGAGGCTTTTTCCTCCTTTCTTTTTGTGATTTTTATTCCCATGAACAAAATTGCATTTTTGACTTCAGTCCAGCTGCAGAAAAGGGCTTGAATTCAGCTTCACAGAGTGCACATGGAGGCCAGTCTGCTGGAGTAACCTCTGTGTCTTCCACTACACCCTATTCAGAAATGTATCTGCTGGGGATGCAGAGATGAGCATCAGGTTCAAAGTGCCTGCAGCCCTTCCAGGTCAAGAGGTGGATATTAGATTGCCATTAGGGCAAGAAACTTGTCTCTAACCAGGCTGTGTGTAAGGCAGAATCAAGGTCCAGGTGCACCACGGTCCCCACCTCTGGTCTGTGACAGCACGAAACCCTGTTTGGAAACTTATTTGCATCTGGTTTTGGGGGCCTTGCTCTCATGTTCGTTTGTTTAGCCCAATTTGCAGGTAAGAAGCAGCTTACACAGCTCATGTGCCAGTCTGTCTCATCCCTCTTCCCTCAGGAATGTTTGACTCTATGGATGATTTTATCTTCAGTTGACAGAGCGTGGTGCATCTTGAGGATAGTTGTCTTGCGGTTCATGAAAATTGACTCCTTGGTCCCTGGCACCCTGGGGGCAGAGGTCCAGCCCTCAGCCTGGACTGCTGGTGCAGCACAGACCTTGGTGTGTCTCAAGTGCAGCATCCATGACTCTTGCCTAAATCCAAAGTAGTGCCAAATGGCTGGAGAAACCCCAGCTCTGCCTGTGCTAAGGCTTTGGGCTGGGGGTGGTGGTGGTGGTGTGTGTGTCATTGTTTTATCCTCCTATTTCCTCCTCTGACGCCTGCCCTGTCCCTCTCCATGCAGTGCAAGATGTCGGTGAATGGGCAGCGTGGCGAGTGCTGGTGCGTGGACCCCATCCATGGGAAGGTGATCCAGGGCGCACCCACCATCCGTGGGGACCCTGAGTGCCACCTCTTCTACACAGCTCATGAGCAGGAGGACCGGGGAGCACATGCCCTGCGAAGCCAGTAGACAGACGTGATCCTGCTTGCTGGAGGCGGCTCACTGTGGCCCCAGTGCTGGATTTTACATGGGTTTCAGCATGTCTCTTTAGGCTCTGGAAGAGACTGGGGTTGGGTCCTGCGTGCTGCTCTCCTTCCCCTGCTGCCCGGCTCCTGGGGAGGGGAGAGAGAACGGGAGGGGAAGGGCGGTGGGGGGGTTGCAAGGAGAAGGGACTGCTTTCCTATAGTCTTTCACCCAATGTAAGCCAGAGAATCGGTCTTTTTTGCTCCTCGCCCTGCGGCCCTGCCATCCCTGCTGCTTTGCGGCATCCTCCTGCACCCTTCAGCACAGAATGCTGTGTGCTCCCTGACACTTCCCAGGGGACAAAACCCTTTGCCGTAGGTGGGAGTGGGACAAAGCAAAACAAAAAAAGTTAAAACCCCACCTTTCCCCTTCTTTCCCTCCCTTCCCCAAGACCAAAGACTGTAAATACTGTGTGGCCTGCCTCTTGCATCCTACTGGTCCCCTGTGCCCCAGCCTGGCCATTGGTCATGGCATGGGATGCAGTGTGGGAGGGAGGGAAGAAGGAAAGCCCCTGTCTTCCCAGCTGGAACATGCTGGCACAGTCAGGATGCATCCCTCAAGAAGGCATCAGTGAGGGAAAGGGCTAAATATGAGACAGCTCCTTCTGCCTCCTAAGGCATCCCTGGGTGTTTCCTTCCTGGTGCTGGGGCACAGTCAGCCCCAGGTTTGGGATGACAGGGCCTTTGGGTGATGGTGAAGCTAAACACTTGGTTTTCCAGGGGATCTGAAGGGCTATTGCCGAGTATTTCTTTGAATCAGCTTATGCTGAGGGAGCTAAAGTGAACTTGCTGGGGCTGGCTGGAAGGATGCCTGTGTAGATTTAGGATAACAAACCAGGGAGTGTCTCTGTCTGTCTCTTTCTCTCTTATTCATTCTTTCTTTCTTTCTAGATAGGAAAAACCCATCTAAAACCTGCACTCCCAAGCAGCTGCCCTTGTCCCTCCATTTTTGCTTGGGACTGGAGTGAGCATCTGCTATTCAGCACACACTTTATCTTTTTTTTTTTGTAAGTAAATTACAGTATGTATCGTGCTTTGTAAAGGTCCTGACACACATGCACCCCCTCTGCCCACATACACGTTTGAGTAGATTAAATCCAAGCGATTCAAGCGCTCAGAGAGGTTTTGTGCTGGACATGCCGTTCTGAGAAGAGATGTCTCTGCTGTTACTTCACCTGTTGATTTCTTCCTGTACAGAGCACACAGACACTGAGAATAAATAACTTCCCTGTCGCCTAAGCAAGGAGATTTGTTTTCTACCTTTTGTTTTTCCACTCCTTCCTTTTTAATATGGATACTGTTTGCAGAGCAGTCACAAAAATCATCTCCTTACAGTAGAAGTCTCAGGCTTCCCCTAAATGAAATCAAAGCTGGGGGCAGGGTGGAGGATAAAGCATCTCCCAATTTTTGGCAAATGCTTCTGAGTAGCAAATAGACTCCAGATCCCAGGTCCATCATAGGGTTAGGTTCAGTTAGGGTGGAGGAAGGGGATTCCTTGGTGACTGTGGGTGCTGGTGGGGAACACCCTGTGCCTGCATGGTGGGTGCCAGGCAGCAAATCTACCTGACCATGACCTTCAGGGATGGGACCATCCCCTGGTGACTGCCAGCATGCCTTGGAAACACCAAACTGTGCTAAAGAAACACCACATCAGGGTTCCCACTGCTGATACTCCCTCATCTGGGGACTTTGGTCTGGAGAAAGAAAACAAAAAGCCCACAGGCTCTGGAAGAAGGGGATTTGTTGCTTTCCCCCTTTTGGCCCCATATTTCAGATCCTAAGTGCAAAGGGTGCAGCAGTGTCTGCAAATTAAGCCCCTTGCAACTTCCCAGGGCTTTGGATGTGGTAGTGGAAGAGACGGGGAAGGGGACCCCTTTGGAAAGTCAGGGATGTGGGGGTGCACATGAGAATGTGAATGAGAGGGAGCAAGAGGGAAAACAAACCACATCACCATGCAAAGCCAAGTAACTGTAAAAATGATGCTGTTTTCTGTTAACAGCCGAGGGTGTTCTGCTTATTCATGTAAACCTTGCACACGCTGGCTCTCATCTACAGTTTGTACTTTTTGTTTTGTTTAGGAACCAGGAAGTTTTCTTTTGTGTTGTTTTTCGGTTTTGTTTTTTTTTTTTTTTCTCTTTTGGAAAAGCTGAGCTGCATAAAGTTGGAATAAACTAAATGGGATGCCAGAAAACTGTCATCTTCCCCCCTCCCCACTCCCCTCTGCTCATAGGAAATGTTTCCTTGCCTAATGCATCACACACAAATTTGGGCCTGTTCAGCTTTTGTCCAGGGGTTTTGTAAACACTGGGCCTGACAAGCAGCAATGGGAGTTGGGCCTTTCATCATCACTGGTCCCAGTTGTACGAGCAGCGAGGAACTGGTGTGACTTGTTGGCTGGCCTGTTATGTTCCTGCTCCACATGTGGTATCTTCTGAGCCTGCAAAATGCAACTGTGCCCTTAAGTCAACATCTGGCCAGCATATGTGTGGAGACCATCTTTCCCGCTGACAGCAGCTAGATTTGGTGGCAAAGGATGGCTGTGTCCCACTTTGCTGGGTGGAGAGGATGGCAGTGTGAATGCCCCATCCAGTGTGATGCCTGTGGAGCTTCCTGAGCTGGAGAGAGGCTGTGTGAGAGCAGGAACTTCCTGCTTCTTGAGCAGTGTAGCAGCTTTGCGAGGAAGGGTCCCTCCTACCCAGCGCAGGGACAATGGAGACCTTTGCCAATTCCTGGGCAAAGGCTATAAGGGTAAGGGTGCTCTGCTTTTTCTATCTTCCCAGCCATGGTACCTCAGGGTCTTCTTGAGTTGTTCATGCTGTTTATTAGGTGGCAGATGGGCCTGCTCTCCATGAATCATCCAGGTTCCTTTAGGTCTCTTGCTACAGTTTTGGTCTCCACTGCCCCCTGTGCAAATAGCTCCTTGGCTGAGTTAGATGATGCATGGAGAAATCCTTCAAGGACTCTGACCTTTGCTTGTGCAAGGAGGGCAAAATTTGAGCTGGCTGAAGAGTCAGCTTTAGTGTTTCTGTGTGAAGCCTTTCCCCAGCACGGGCTGCTGGGAAGGTGTGGGAAGGCCTGGGCTGCTCCACTCACAGGGCTGTGGAGACAGGCCTCTTGAGGAGCCTGCACCTTCTCCCCAGGTGAGAAGTGCTGCCAAAGGGAGCATCACAGCACAACTCAGTGCTTGGGGCGCCGCTGGGAGGCAGATAATAACAATAATAATAATAGAAAAAAAAACATGCTGCATTCAATTAAAGTTGCAGCATTGAGGGAGAGGCCCCATGTGGCTCTGACAGCCAACATCCAGGTGTCTGTGGTTTCCCTTTGTCCTCCCCAAAGGAAGGCAAAACCGCTAGGCTGCTTCCCCATCTGTTTCCTCCTATCCCATGCGAGAATGCTGGGCAGGACTGATGTGTGCTGAGGGGCTGGGCAGTGGCAGGGAGCCCCAGGAACACGTATGGGGACAGAAGGCAGCCAGTGCATGGGGCTGCAAGGACAGACATAGGATGGGGGGTGGGATGTAAGCAGGAGAACATGAGAAAAGGAGCAAAATTAGCAATTAATATTGTCTTTTGTGCCCCTGGGGGGAGCTGAAGGTGGCTCAGGGGATGCCAAGTAGCACTGTGGGGCACAAGGGTGCTCCAAGCCAGGTGCTGTTTTTGGGAGGGCTTGGGGGGGCAGAAGTTCCACGTACTGGGGGCACACTCTTGGTCAAGTGCTGGAGGAGAACAGGAGCCCTCAGCCCAGTAAAGGGAGCTTGCAGCTTGCCGGGCACCTTGCAGAGGGGCAGAAGCAGCAACAAGGCAAGAGGTGCAAAGAGCTCCTGTTTAGGTTTCCCCAGGGTTGCAATGTGGCCTTAAAGGCTGCATGTGTGTGTGCATGGGTTTGATGTGTGTCACGGCCCAGATCCTGGCTCTGGGGTTTCCTCTGGGCCATCTTTGTGCCTCCTGAGGTCTGGGTAATCAGACACGTAGTCAGGCACTGAGGCTTACCCAGCTGCACATAGGGTACTAGCTGAAACCCCAGCATCTCTGGTGTACACACACAAAACTACATACACTGGCAAACTACAGTTTTAGTAGAGCATAAAAATTATGCAGTAGTATAATACAGTAATATTTACTATAAAGAATTAGTGTAAGACTGTATGACTATCTATGTACAGCTATAGCTATCTATAGCCATATCTGTATCCATATAGATAGCGGTAGTTTGAGGGTAGGAGTATAATTTACTAGCCAGCTAGCTGAAGGCGGGGGAGAAAAGCGTTAACTTTTTGGGTGGAAAGCCCATTTCCAGTGCCTGTGTGGCTGAAAGCAACAGCAGAGCCTCGCTGCCCAGCGCCGCCTGGTGCCGCTGCCGTGCCGTGCGGCTCCCGCGCAGAGGGGTGCCTGAGGCAGCGGGTCCAGCCTAGCGGCGCGGCACGGGGGTGCACCGGGGTTCGGACCCCCCCCGCCTCTGTCGCTTGGGGCAGCATGTTTGGCCCCAGCTGTGCTATGGGGAGAGGAGGGAGTGAGTGGCTGTGCCAGCCCTGGGTGGTGCAAATAGGATGGGGGATACTTGTTGGCACAGTGAGGGCCAACGGGGAAGATTTTGCCTCCTGCCCTGCCCCGGGCACATGGGGTGATGCTGGCAGCCGGGTGGGTGGAAGGGATGGGGGCACAGGAGGAGGGAGATGAGGGGGTGAATGGGAAGATGAAGGGTGATGGCTACATGGGCACAGGGAGGGGCAGATCCAGCACTGGGGAGGACACAGGGTAGAGCAAAGGGCCACCAAGGTCTACCACGAGGTCTCTGAGGACCTGGCTGGGCTGGGCTGCCCCATGGATGGCACAGGAATGCTCCAGGACACTGTGGTAAATACTTCAGCTGCCCAGAGGTCTGAGGCTCAAACATCACATCCAGTCCCAAACTGTAGGACTGTTTGGGCAAGCATCTGGGGGCTTAGTCGCATCCCTCTCCCACATAAGCCATCTGAGTGCAGTGCTGTGCCCTGCTGTCATACCCATGCAAAGGTTATTTCTAAAAAAAATTGGACGGCTCTGCTTAAGTGTGTTGTAAACTCAAACTTCAGTTTTACCACTGACTATGCACACTGCTCTGGTATTGAAAGCGCTCCTAAACCATTCCCCCAGGCTCTGTACCTCCCCTGGCACCCCCATGGAGCTGGCTGAGTCCCCAGGGGCACAGGGCCAGGGGATGCTTGGGGACGTAGCCCCTCGCTAGCAGGCTCCAGCACACAGATGCTCCAGGAGGGTCAGGCACAAGCTAACTGAATGCATAACTTTATTAAATAAATGCTTTGTCATGAGAAAAGACAAAGATCAAAGAGTAACATAAATTATAAGTTGAATAAATAGTATACAGCAATCTTCACTTTTTAATAAAATGTGAGATTTTTTAAAGTACAAAATGCTAAACAGAGCATTAAGCTCTTCTTCCATTGTCAGTTTTTCACAAACTGCTTTTTTTTTTTTTCTTTCCCCACCAGTAAGATTATGAGTATTTCTTGTTTACTGGAAAAAAAAACCACCCAAAACAACAAAAACAAAACGAAACAAAACAACAGAGCTACCGTATGTATGTAAAGCTATAAAAAGCTACCGTAAAATGTGTAGTGAGTATTGCTAAAGATAAAAACCAGGCAGGAAACTCGGAATCTGGTGTGTTTTAACAACTGTGTTACAACGGTGGGTAACGTGCGTGGTGATGCCTGTCCCCATTGGCAGTGGTGTGGGGCTGGCGGGGCTGGAGAGGGGGGCACAGTAGGCAGGGATCCTAGCCATGGCCAGGACAGCGGTCTGGAAGCAAAGTGAACTGTCGATCATTAAATATACAATGCTCCATTTGGGAAAAAAAACTAAAATCAGTAACAACCAAAAAAAAAACAAAAAACAAACCACCACCAAAAAACACCCAACAGCAAAAAAGAGTTTTCATGGGGAAGGTGGAGAAAAAGAGAAGGGGGGAGAGCAGAGAAATAGTGCAAAATGCTCTTGTACTAGTGGTTTTTGAGGTCCACTGCAGTACAGACAAGGGGTAGCCCAGCTGCTGAGCGCCGCTCCCCAGGGAGATGTGGGAGAAGGGCTTTCCTGACCCCTGTGCCATCCTTGTTCTTTCCTCAGCTCGCATACCGAGTACCAGTGCAGGCTCAGTGAAAAGACTGTGGCTGGAGCCCCCTGAGCCTCACACCTCTCCCTTATGCACCAATCGCCAGCATCTCCTCACGTGCCTCACCCCCTCCTACCCATCCTCCCCAGCTCCCACATCTCCCCCTTTTGCTTTTCTCACCCTAAATGCAAAGGGGGGCTGCTGGGTGCTGAGAACGGCAGCACGTTGTCATTGCCATCCCTCCTGAAGCTGTTCTTGCCTCCACCCCGACCCAGGCTCCAACCCTGGTCCTAAATATTAGTGCAGCCTGCAAACAGCCTCATCTGGCCAGGGTTCACCTAGAGACTGGGCAGTTGGGGGCTCACCTGGTGCCCTGTCCCAGGAGCCAAGGTCATTTGGGGGGCCAAAGGTGGTTTGGGCAGCCCCCTCCTGCATCCTCCTCCCCCAGGTTGGTGGGGACAGGACAGGCAGTGCTGTCCCAGCAATGGATGTGCAGCGGGGAGGGAGGCTGGGATGGATTTTGATCTGCCAGGCCATGGCTGAGACTTGCTTTGTAGGGAGAGGTCAGGGAGGCACCCTGAATGCCCCTCCCAGTGTCACTGTGGTGGCCACATCATGAGACCACACCAGGCCACGTGAGCTGAGCCTCACCTTGCAGAAGCTCCCATCCCGCCCCGGCAGCACATCTCCTTTCTCTGCAGCCAAAGGCTTTCAAGTTTTGGGAAATTAAACAATGAAACAAACAAACAAAAAAGCAAGAGAGAAGGAGGGAAGGGTCCTGGGGAAGGTGGTACTGGCCTATAACAGGAGGTTTTGCAGAGGAATCAGTGAGAAGAGATGGGAACAGCATCGATGATGGCAACCTGTGGCCCTTGGGGTTAGCATGAGCTCCTCATCATCTGCTGTCATCACTAAATTCTTCACCCCATCTTCACTGCACCATTAACCCACCACCCTGGTCAAACCAACTCTGCTTCATCAGCCCTGCAGAGCCCAGAGGGGTTCCTCCCTTGGCCCCAGCACCTGCCACTCTCCCCCTCCAGCAACACAGGATCATCCTGCTCTGGCAGTTTCTTTTGAGGGCAGCAGATCTTCATTGGGTGGAACCCTCCCTTCTTTTCAGCAAGGGAAGATGCCTCACCCCCAGCTCCAAACATGCCTCACTGGGTCTCCACTGAAGTCCACTGGCAAACTTGCCCCCGCTGCAACTCCAAATGAAGTAACTGTGGGACATCCAGTCCTTCCCTTGACTGGGGCAAGTGTCTTGGTGGGGTGCCTGCAAGGTGCTCCAGAGAATGATGCCATGCCATGGGAGGTTATGAGGGCACCTCACTGGTGACGGAGAGGAGCCTCCACCAGACCCCCTTGTCACTAAATCCCCCTTGTCCCATCCCTGCTGGCAGGGACGCAGTGGTGCTTTGGACTCCTTGTCCTCTATGCCCAAGCCTGGGATGCTCAAAGGGGCTTTGGGGTGCAGAAACCTTCCCCCTGAGATCAGCTGTGTCCTTTAGCCAGTGCCAGCTGCCAGCTCCAGCCATGGCAGTGGGATGTGGTCCACATTGGGTGTGTATTTGCCCACTGGGACCGCAGCAGCCAGACACCATGGTTTGCTTTCCTTTCCTTCCTTTGCTGCAACAGCTTCCCAGCAGCAACATCGCAGAGACCTTTGTCATGGGGAAGCAAAAGGCAAGAGTCCTGAAATTGAACGTAAAAATGAAAAACAAAGTCAGGAAGGCAGCCGAGGCCTGCGCCAGCATGCCTGAGGCAGTGGGTCTCCATAGTGCGGTGGCTGCTGTCACTCAACAAGGACTGGGGTCCCCATGTTTAAGGCAAGGGCCTGTTGCAGTATCTTACTGCAGGGTGGTGGGAGTCAGCTGTGGCAACATGAGTGAAAGGATGGAGACCAGCATTTTCCTACCCATGGGGAAGGCTATAAACCAGCCTTAACAAAAATCCAATGCAAAAGAAAATGTAGGTTTGGTTTTCCCCTTCCCTGGAGCAAACCACTTTTTTGGCTGTGGAAAAAAAAAAAATAAAAAAGAAATCTCCATACTTGGTCTTCCTCATGCCAGCGAAGGGTAGTGAAGAGTTTTGGCCCCAATTCCCCTGTCCTCATGTACAGATGCTTCAGCCTGGACAGTGATGGAGTATCTGCGGGGTCAGCTTGGATGCAGCCCTTGGCATTGGTGTGACCCTGATCCCACAGGCACTGATGCTCCTCTGTAACTCTGCTCCCATGCTTAGTCCAGCAGGTTATTATTCTTTGGGAGGGGCAGCATCTTTCTGCCTGCTTAAGAGTGAAGCCCTCCAAATTGCAGGTTTCAAGGCAAAGTTTTGCAAGGAGGAAAAGCCATGTCTGTGCGCACACATGCTTGCACACATGCACGCAGGAAACAAGTGCTTCCACACCTGGATGGACAATAGAGTACTGCTTATCCAAAAAGATTTCTGACCTCCCATCCGAGAGGAACTGGATGGAGAAAGGTATCTTTCCTTTTTGGATGATTTCAAAGCTCACCAATATTCTTGCAGGGGTATTCGTGCCATTGCAGGAGCTGTGTTTCCCTCCCCGACTCATCTCCAGACAAAACCCCAGCAGTCCCATGCCTCCTCCCGATGCATTGAAATCTGCCTTGATCTGGGGCAGTCATTTGAGATGGAAACCAAATAGAGTCAAGTGAATCCCAGTGATGTGGGGAGGAGACTCTGGAGGACTGCAGCAAGGAGAGAGGATGCTGGCGGCCACCAGGTTTTCTCTTGAGACCCTTTAGACAAAAAATATCTCCTCCTCCTCCCCCCCCCCCCAAATAAAATCAACCTGCTTGAAAGCCATACTGGAAAATCACCAACTCAGAGAGCTTCCTACAAGTGGAAGCCTCTGCTCAAGCAGCAGGGAGGTGCAAGCAGCACTGGGAGAGGCACGGGTCAGTGCAGGATGGAGTGGAGTGGCCGCAACTGGTTTGTCTCTGGCTCTGTCCTTTCCTTGCTGAGTCCTTGTCGTCAAGAGGCTGCTGCAGATTCCGAGTCCTCAGTTTTGTCAGGGTTTGTTTTTCTCCTTTTCTCTTTTCTTTTCTAGTTTTCTCTTCCTTTCTTTTCTCTTATTTTTTCTTTTCTTTTTTCTCTTTTCTCCTTTCTTTGCCTTTTCTCTTCCTTTCTTTTCTCTTTTTTCCTTTCTTTTCTTTCTTCCTTTTTTCTTTTCTTTTTGCTTTTCCTTTGTTTACTTCTTTCCTTCTCTTCCTCTTTTTTTTTTTCCTTTTCCTTCCTTTCTCCTTTTTCTTTTCCTGTCTTTTTTTCTTCTTACATGAGATGAAAGGAATCGGAGTCCCGGGGCGCGGGGAGGTGTGGAGGGGAGGGTGGAAGGGAGCCTGGGTAGGTAGTGATGGGGTGGAGGGAGGGGATGCGACTTCACTCCACGTTGCTGCTGTCGAACGCGTGGCACTGCAGGTCTCCGCTCAGGTAGTCAGTCCCTGGCAGCTTCATGCCGTATTTGTCCACACACCAACACAACCCACGCTTCCGGCCACGGGAGGGCTTGCACTGCAGAGACAACCAAAGGCAGAGATTAGGAGCTGGCCACCAGACACTGTGGCTCCCTTGCACTCAAGACCAGGATCACCCCTGCAGTTTGCCCCTTTCACCTCAGCAATGCAATCCCCTGGGTAGGACCTAGCTCCTGCTCTCTGCTTTCAGCACATCTCCATCCGCGCTGCTAATTCTGACTTTTCCTCCTCCCTAAGAAGTTCCTTCAGGATGCTCACTTCAGGCCAAATGGCACATGAAGCCATCAGCAAGGCCACCCACCACTAAACATGTCTCCCCACCAGCCCAGCAGAGGAAAACCTCCATACTTTCCACTCAGGGCAGCAGCAGAAAAAAGCCTCCCTGAGTGGGGAGCGTCTCTCCACGGGGCTCTTACCTGCTTCCTCTTATAGAAGCCCTTTCGGTCACAGTTAGGGAGGTGGACGGCACGGGGGACCATCCGCTGGCTGCTCTTCAGCTCCTGCAGGGATGCCTCCATGTGCCTGCGGCAAGGACCCTGCCAGCAGGGAGAAGATGGAGTGTGAGAAGGGGAGAACCTCACAACAAGCCTCCAGCTGCAAATGCCCCCAGGTCCCCTGTACCCACACTGGCACCTGCTCCCCAGGGGACAAAGCCTTCCCACAGCCCCCTGCCCACAGGAGCCCCATGGAGGGAAGGTGAAGGCACCCACCAGCTCAAACTCCTGCCGGAGCTCAGGGATGACGACGCGAGGATGCGCCGTGTTCTCTGCCATGCCCACAAACTTAGCCAGGGTCAGCTTCTTACGGCGGTCCTTCTTTAGGGCCTCAGCCTTGAGCTCGGAGAGGCGCCCATGCTTGGGCCGGTAGGCCTTGGGTGGGTAAGTCTCCTCTGTCATCTCTGACGTGGTCGGCTCCTCATGCTCTCGGGACTCCCGTTCTGGAAGAGAAGGGGTACCAAACTGTCAGGTCTCCGTCATCTGACTGGGGCTTGCCTTGGCATAGAGAGCCTCCTGCCCAACCCCAGAGGACATCTTTGCACCAGGCAGGATAGGAACAAGAGACCAAATAAATCCCTTTCCCAACTGCTGCCTACAGCCCTGGCTTTATCCCACTGTGTGGGACTTGGCATGGCTTTTGTGTGATCCCCAAGCTCATGGTAGGAAGGTATCTGAGGGCATAGAAGAGTTGGGAGTCTAGGATAGGCTCCTATATATAAGACCACCATCGTCTGCAGTGTGTCAGCATAAAAAGACTGGTGGAAGGTTTCTCTCACACCCAGTAAGGACTAGATGAGACACAAAATGTGGCAGAGAAGCCCCCCTCTAGCCATGGTGAGAGGATTAAGTGACAAATTCACACTCCACCCTGCCTTGAGATGGAAGAGCAAAAGCCAGGGATGCTCGAAGATGCAACAACTCCAAAGTTAAGGTCAATCACACAGCAAAGATACTGTTCAGCTGGGCAGACCTTCAGCAGCGATGCCGAAGTTTGGCTGACAAGTGCTGGGATCTCCTGGGAATTCCACTTGCAGCCCCATGCTGACAGGACTGAACCAGCCCTTGTCTGCTGGCATGCACTAAGCAGCCAGCAAAGCCTGGGGTGACAGCAAAGCTGCCTGACTGCAGCTGCCACCAATGGTACTGACAGCACGTTTAGGCTCTGTGCATGGCAGTTGCCTTCCTATAGATCCCTCGGATCGCCCCAGTGTGACCTGTGCTGACGTGATGCAGGCAGGGGCACTGTGTGGTTATATATAGAAGCAAGCTGGTGACAGTCTAAACTTAGATGACTTGTGACATTTAGTATAGCCACCAGAGTGAAAAAGGGTTATTTCTGGACTAAATTGGAATAGAGTTTAAGGCTCTTGAGGCTCCTGCTCTCCCAGCCCCTGGTTCCCAGGAACCCTGCACTAACACTAGGCTTGTGCTAGGTCTGGCAGGTGAGCACAGGGAAACCCACAGCAGCAGAAGGAAAAGCACAGAGTCACTGAAATCCCTCCCTGCAAGGTGTCTACCACGACCCAATGCCAGTGAACCTGGCTCATTCCCTCCTGCAACCTTGCGGTGAAGTGAGCAGGGAACCGCTTTTGCCCCTCCTACCAACATCACTGTTGGGACAAAAGAAAAAGGCTCAGGATGAGAATAAAGACAGATAACCTCCCACCCTAACAAGGCAAACAGGAGTCTCCCTGCAGACCAGCTGCTCCCCGGAGCCCAGATGCCGCCCAAAGGGAAGGCAGATGCCTCTGCCTCCCCGGGCTGCGCTGGGGATGCCCGGTGATGGGGGACAGACAGGCGCGCTGCTCAGCGGCAGATGGCAGCACTGGCCCGTTACACACATCGCAACGGGGTCTTGGAGGTGGCCCAGGGGACAGGCTGGTCACTGGGTCCCCAAGCCTGCCACGGCTCCCCGTCTCTTCTTCGTCCTTGCCAAGGTCAACCTGCCCTTTCCCAGCAGAACCCGGAAGTTTTCAACGGCCACTTATTTGTTAAAGCATCACTTTTGTCTTCTCTTTCCACAAGAACAGGGCTGGATCAGCATCTCAGACTCAGCACCCTCCTAACTGCCCACACCACTTAAATGGCCCCATGCACCATCCCCAGGACTCACACATCTCTCCAGGACAGGGTCCTCTTGCCATTTTGCCCCACGATGTGCATATGCCTGGGGTTTCTCTCTTGCTGCAGGACTCAAAGGCCCTACAGCTCAGGGCTCCTCTATTATAATGGGATGACAGACAAGGGATAGGGAACAGATTGTTGTAACTGGGAATGATCTTGTTTTCCAGGAAATGTCACTGTACAAGGTGCAGCAGAAGTGAATGCTTTGCTTAAAAGAAGTTACGGCATCCAAGGTCTGAAAAGAGACCGGAGACAGCCGCAGTGACTAAGCCCTTCCCCGGCAACGAAGCATGCTGTGATCTGTCCCGGGAATCCCCTCTGGCACACATTGCCAGAGCCACAGAAGGCAGAGCCAGGGCATCTCCTGACCATAATTAAGGGAAGGATTCACACCGGGGCAGGCAACCCTGCAATCACATAAGAGGGACACAGCTCATTACCTCTGCAATAACAAACACGAAAGGCACAGCTACCTAGGCAAACCTAAATTAACAAACAAGGCAGTGAGGGTCAGTCAGAAAAACAGCACAGGGTGTCCAGTCCCCAGGTCTTGAGGTGCAATGGGTGTTTGCAGCAGCTCAGCCTGCTCACATGGTAAGCAGCTTCAGCCTCTGCAAACACCTTATTTCCCCTCTTCCGGCAAGCTGCCGCAGAGCAAGCTGGGGTCTAATGTGGAGCCCTTTCAGCAAGGGGAGATGGGAAGGAGCCACAGGAGCCCAGCGCTCTGCAGAGGGAGCTGAGGGCTAGCATACATGGAAAGCTGCCTAGCTCCTAGCTCGAGTTCAGTGTGGGACCAAAAAGGCACCTGGAAGAGACCCTCTTCATCCTCCCCGGCACCCACAGGTCAAGCAGGAACACAGCAAGGGATGTGGTAGGACTCCTCCATCTGCTACTCAGCAGTGGTGTCTAGTTCAGGTGTTTAATTCCGAGTGAGAACCCCATGGATGCCTTGGAGGGATCCTTTTCATCCACCCTCTGATGATTTTTACAGCCTAATTTCCTTCAGCAACAAGGCTGAAGCACTCCCTGCTCACACACCTATGTATTCCCTAATTTGATACTAACAAGCCAATTTTGATAAATTGAAGGGCAGAGGTCTCTTGACACAGAAGCTTCTGACAAGCTCCGGGCAGCTGGTGAGGGACCTTGTGGATGCCAACACGAGAGAGAAAGGCAGAGCCAGGGCGGACAGGAGGCAAAGGGGGGCACTGCAGGGTGCAGTCCGCCCCTTTGCCTCCCGGCTGGATCATCTGCATCAGCCAGCAGCCAGGACCAGACATGCTTGTCAGCATCTCCAGAGCCCCTACACTCATCCTCACCCTCCAGCTTGCTCATTAACCTCCATCTGCTGCGCTGGCTGGCTCGTGGCAGGCAGCATTGGCACCACTGCACCTCTGCTCCTGAGGAGATGCCAGCAGCAGCAACTCCCAGTTTCCCCAAAAGAGCCCTAATTGTGCCTGTCTGCGACTGAGGAAGGAGGTTGGGATTCCTCCTCCCCTGCTGTCAGCATCTGGCCCTCTGCACAGACCTTTTCTGCCTGCTCCCACCCACCTTGCCAAACCAGCAACTGGGTTTTAGGCAGGCGGTTCTTTGCAGAAGCAGAGCATGCTGCATGTCTCTATTTCAGCTATGGGCACAAGGCACTGGCAGGAAGGCCCTGCGCACTGTGTTCCCAGCATGGGGACACTGGGAAGCAGGAGGTGGCTTTCACACCTCCATTCCTTCTCAGGTGAAGTCCCAGGCTCACTGGCCACACAGAAGAATGACATTGCTGGCCAAGACAAGGATGCTTGGTTACTCTGGAGATGAGACTTGGGCTGTAGCCATCTGAAGAGGATGTTGACTGTACAGCCAAAGCAGGAGACTAAACTCAACTCAAAGCCAGCCTGTGGCCTTTTGTCTGATCTGATGCTGCGGTGCCCATGGAGGACCCAGGGAAAAAGGGGTGAGCATCTGCATATGGTCCTGGCACAGGCTAGGCCAGAAGGACTGTGGTGTGGATGTCCAAATCCATGCAGGCTCCCATGAGCCCTGAGAGACAGAAAATACTCATAGCAGAGCGTGGACTGTCCTCTGTCTCAGGCTGAGGGCACCGTCCCTCTCCCCACTTCGGACTGGCCAAAGGTTGCTTTCTAGCAGGAACCATTTCCAACCCATTCACTCTGCCTCCACAGAAAGGATGCAGCGTAGCAAAATACCAGGCACAGTTCTGGAAAGCTGCAAACTGCTTCTGTCTGGCTGCTGACCTCAACAGATACCACCCAGAGCAGCCCGGGCACTTTCCTGCATCTGGGCCAAAACCCAGCCCGGGTGCTTCCATGCTTCAGATGTGTTGGAGATGTGCGAGTTCCCCACAGGGCAGAGGTGTGTGTTCACACGTGGGTGTGGGGCATGTGGGAACACTGCCTCCCTGCCTGCTGACTTTACAGAGCAGAGCAGAAAGCTTTATCCAAATGGCTGGAATTTCTGTAACATGTTTTCATTGGTTTCTGGCAGAAAGGTAGGAAAAGTATCTTATTGACTGCGGCTGGTAATGATCCATGCTTGTTACTTCCACAGCCCACTGCTAGAGAACTTGCTGTCCTGTTCAACCCCCTCCAAAAAAGCCACATACACCTTAAGAAAAACAAGCACGACCATAGCACAACCTTGCTGAACAGCCCTCTTGATTATTATCATGATTATTACTATTTACAATGTAAGCACTAACATAACACACCACTTGAGCAGAAAGCTGTTGGAGAAAGACTTAACGGGGATCTCAATTAAACCTCTAGCATAGGAATGACAAACGTCACTGGTGGAGACCTTGAGAAGTTTCCCTGTCCTTCCTCCATCCCCAAACTCAGCCATCTCTGTTCAGAAGTCCTCACTGCAAGATGGAAATCAAGGCTTACACTATCCAGGGCTGAAACATCGCTGGTTAGAGAGCAGTCTCCCACTGAACAGCACAGTGCACAATGTCTCCGCTGTCCAATGGAGGAGGATTTACCCCCAGCATTAAGTGCTACCTCCCAGTATGCCCATGAAGGGCATATCCCCAGCTACAGGACTTCACGAGTGATGCCACCACCCCACTTTTCCAGGGGGCTCTTTGTAAATTTGAGCCTTGGTGGCAGCTGTCTTTGGATGATCCTAGTTTCCATCCCATTGCTGCTTACAGCACGGTGGTTTCCAAATCTGGATGTGTGATCTCTGACATTTTGGCTTTCTTTTTGGAGGGAGGGAAAACATTTTGGGATAACACACCTAGGCAGCCGGTACTGGTGATGAACAAAAGAAGAAACTTAGGGGAGAGGCAGAGAGAGGGGAGGGATTTTTTCCTGCAGTTCCCATTGATCAGGACCCCAAAGTGCTAATCAGAGCCAGATCTGGACACTCCCTCTGAGCTTCACCCATAACAACAGCTCTCCAGCACAAACAGCCGCAGACTCCTATCTACAGTGGCTCCATTATCTGCCCAGCCCCATGCTGGCTGCTTGTGTCTTCTTGCTGGACTTTACACACACACGCAGGCAGAGGCAGTAGGTGGTGAAATCAATGTTTTTCTTCTTCCCTGTACTTGCCAGAGGGGCAGGATCCTCCCATTTCTCCTTCCTCTCCCATCATTTATGATACTGCTTCTTCCTGGGCAATGTAAAGCAGCTTCCTGGGATCCCTGTGGCTGGGAGAAGAGGAATGTTGGTGCTGTCCCTGAAATCAGCATTTTATTGCAAATCACGTAAGAGGTGTACCTATTTTTCTTCAGTCTCAGTCTTATACAGAAGTCTGTGCTCAGGACCCTGGCTGGTAAAAGCCCTGCTCATGCATTTCACCCAGCTGCCCTCCCCAGTTGTCCCCACTCCAGAGGAGAGGGTGTACCAGACCTACATCAAAACCTCATGGGATGGGCAGGCAAGTTTTTCTCCAGCCTTGGACCTGTGCTCATGACAGGAAAATAAAGATCCCTCCCTCCTTATCAGCGCACAGGGTCAGCCCCTGTGTTTGCATGCTCAGAATGCAGGCAGGGCAGGGATGTGGAGAGAGGAGGGTCATCTCATCTTGCGCCCTTTGGCAGCTGGAGAGCACAACTGAGAAAAAGCATTCCTGAGCTCCCTGGAGGCCACAGGGATCAGCCCAGAAGGGAGCTTTCACTGCCCTAATGAGAAACAGCTCATTTACAGTCCCATTGCAGACACAACCCTAGCACAGCAGTGAATGACCCGCAGCCCTGTGCACAGCCCTGCAGGGTGGGTAGTGGAAGCCGGCTCAGGTGCTGTGCCGGGGGCGGGGGTCCCTGAGCCCAGATCACCGCCCTGGTGAGGTCAGGCAGTGATCTCAGGCGCCCGCCCAACCCAAGGCTGTCTGGCACCCATCAGAGGAGGAGCAGCCAGGGCTGGGGGATGCAGGCTCTGGCTGGTCCCCCGCTAGCCCAGGGTGTTGGCTGCTGCAGAGCCAGCTGCTTTGTGCCTTGGACTTTCGACGAACTTTTGTGCTTTGGTGGGGACTCGGCAGCAGACCGGCATGGCTCATCTAGCAGGGACTGGCAAGGGAGCACAGTGGTGATGCTCGTAGGCGGTGAGAGACTGGGAGGAGACACCACACGCTAAGAAGGATAGGAAAACAGCAGCCCTGCTTGGACTGCCACCCCACATCCCACAAGTCCCAGCAATGTGCAACAGGCATTTATGACTGATCTGGGTTAAATAACACCCATCTACTAATACAGAAGTGTCTGGGCTTTGCTCGATGGCTAAATTCCATGTCTAACTCATTGCAGAGATGCTGCACCCTCCAGATTGTGACCAGCTCCATCATTAGGCTTGGGAGTGCTGATTTTAGGGTGGAACAACATGTCTCTGGAGGCTGCAGTCTCTCCTCCTGTGCCTCCAATGGTCACTCTTAGGCTTCCAAAGATCTGAAGTTAAAAAAGATAAATTCTACAACCTCTTTAGTACTGGTCCCCTTGCAGTCTGTTACGTAGCTCTTACAGGCAAAAGTGACAAAACTATTTTACAGGCATAGGGGTGGTGGTAAGAAAACCCAGACCCTGTGTTCTTTGCTGGGAATTAAGTGTCCCAACAAATGCCAAAGGTGGCAAATCACCTTTGTGATTTGCAGAGCATAGAAGGAAGTCTTTAGCAGTCAAAGCATCATGAAGCGCCCACGAAAACACCAACTATACCCCACCATGCCCAGTCCCCTGCAAGATATACGATCAGAGTCCAAAACCAGTCCATGTCCCAAAAGCCATACAAGCTTTTGGAAGAGAGTTCTGGGGAATTCCAGTACCTTATATCCCTGTGACAGCATGCTGCAAGTTGCTGGGACCTCACTCTCTTGTCCCACAGAGACACCTTTTAGGAGAAGAATATGGAGCAGTGGGACCAGGCTCAGAAAAGAGGAGAAAAAGCTGCCAGAGGGCTGGAAGGACTCAACCCTGGGTTAAGACTTATCTCCATTTTCTTAATCCAAGAGACAGAAGGATGCTTGGGAAAAGCTCAGGAACACCTTACAAGCAAGCCTCAGAGAACAGGGACAGATAGCAGAGGGATGTGCTACACTGTTGTACTGTGTCCTTTTTTTGAAGTTATTGTTTGGGCTTTGCTGAACTCTCCTGGAAGACCAGCTCTTTCTCAGGAGAGTAATGTCTCCTCAGCAGAAACCTGTGGATGCAGATTCTGCTGCATCAGCCAGGGCTCACCTGCAGAGCGTGAATATCAGGTGCTTGGGCTGCCCCCAGGTTCACAAAGGATTCATGGGAAAGGGAGATCATCATCCTGATGACCTCGGTGTCCTCATACAGAGCTGGATGGGGGAGAAATACAGCTCAGCATGTGGGAAAGGAGCTCTCAAGGGAATCAGCTCATGTTTTGGTCTGCTCTGGAAGTGCAGAGCCTATCTGCAGGAATGGATCTCTTGGGTCAGCACCACTTCTCCGCAGTACCAGCAAGTGCCATGGAGGTGGGAGATGTACAGCTATGGGAACTGGAAGTGTAAAGAAGGATCTGTGTTGCTGTGTGCCAAACGATGCTTTCCTGAGTTGGCCTTTCTTGCTGCAGTCACAAAATAAAACTCCCTGGGAGCAACTCTCCAGTGCAAGGAGAAAAGCAGGTTTAGAAATGGGGAGCTCCATAATGTACAGGAGCTCCCTATACATTGTTAGATGTTAGTTTGACAAACTCTAAGCATCCTTGCTGTGCTGGAAGAGCTGAGCATGGGCACCAGCTGGTGGGCTCGGCTGCTTCTGATCTGGCATGTACAAGAAAGGACAACATCGAGAGGTGTTGTCTCTGATCCATCTCTTTCTCTCCAGAGAGCTCCCAAATCTGCTATGATCAATTCTCAGCAAAGGCTATAGCAAAGGGAGTTTGCAATGCATATACATGACACACCAAGACCAGGTAAGGGTCTGAGTCAACAGGCTGCATGGCCAGAGACCTTGGGCTCTCACTGACAACCATTTCTATGCAAGAGAGAACCCAAAATGTCTAATCAGTAAAAGAGTTGGGAAACTTTCCAGAGCTTTTCCCTCTGGTAAGAACATGAACAAACATCCATCCATTTCAATTAAATGAATGCTGATCATGCAAAATTGCAGGCACTGTTTTTCTAGATAGCTGCTGGTATTAGCCTGACATTTCCTGAACAAAGTTATCTTCCAGTGAACTGAACTGCCAAGTGGAGGGGAAGGAAGTATTTCAGGATTAGATTTACATCAAGAAGCTCCAGTTGCTGATGCACTGATGATAGGAAGATAAAACATATTTCCTTCACATCATCTGGAGACTGCAGATGTTCCCCATTCCATATGCTGAAACTGCAGAAGAAGCTGAGAGCTAAATTGAAGAATGACCGAGAGAAATCTAAATAAATCATCTTTCAATATCATAGTGACCAAGACATATTCTTCCTTCCTGCAAGGATGAAATCATTCATCTTTCTTAGTCTTGCATCTTTTCCAACAAATTCACCCTAGTGGCGTATTCCACTGGTTGTTATAAAGGAGGCAAAAACCCCGCCAGGCTGTCAAGGAATTAAGAACAGAAAAGAACAAAAAAAGAAAACTCAGGAAAGAAGACCACATGGCAGTTTCTGCCCAACTGACAGTAAAGGTAAGGAAAATCTGGAGTAACTCTTAACAGCATCACTGAATTGTTTACCAGTAGTTTCTCCATGGGGCTTACCTATGTCATAAAAAGGAAACCCTACTTAGAAAACACACACGCTTTCGAATCTTCTGAATAGAAACAAAAGAGTGTAAAGTGCTCATCTGGCCATCAGAGATCACTTGAAAAAAATCTTGCTGTGTCCTTAGGAAAGAAGGAGGTGTGATGGGTTGGACAAGAACTCCAATAGCATCCATCAACTATAATTATTATATGAGAAAGAAGAGGACATGGGGACTTCTTTGGATGCAGGCAGCTGTACAGAAGTGATGGAGGAAATGTCACCAGGGAAAAGATTAGGTAGCTTTGCCCTCTTGAACTATTGGGGTTCTGTCTCTAAAACTCAGCTGAAGGTTGGTGTCAATATACACAAGCTGTCAAGAAACCTGGACTTGAAAGCAGGATGCTGCCAGGATGCTGATGCTACTCTGATCACTGAAACTCAAATCTGACAAATCATTGTAGAGCCAGGTGCTTAGAAGACCTTAGAAGCATAACCAAGAAGACTGTTGCTGGTGGCTATTAAAACCTGGAATATGACTGTGGATATTGTAGCAATACCATGAACACTGTGCAACTGACGGGAAGACTGCATTAAAGGAGATGATCCTGAGAAGAGGATGTACTGTGAAAGCAGCCACTACAGTTTATGCTGAGCTCTCTGGCCTGCTTACGGATGAGGGTGGCTTTTGCCTTTTGGTCAGGGTTTTGAACCTGATTTAGTTTAGTATTAAGCAGAAGCTTTTAACAACTGACTTACTGGAACTGAATCCAGGAGATGCTGCTCTCATTGGAGGCTGGTAAGTCTCCACCAAAAGACCCATCCCCACTTATGTTATATACAGCAGCCAGTAACTTGAAGATCCAAGAAAGCCAAACCTTTTGCTTGCCCCGAAGAGAGGTGAAGGCACATCAGATGGAGTCTGCAGATGCATCTGTATCAGGTGCAGGGTGAGAACTGGTGGAACACCACAAATATTTCACGTGTGCAGCTGTGATTGCAACCTCCAGCCTAACATGGATTAATTTCTAGGCCCTCAGCCTGACTTTCACAGCTCTGCCTTAAACTAGATGGAAAAGATGTGTGAGATCACCTATTGCTCAACTTTGTGTCAGCACCAGATGACACAATGTCACATGTACAGTCCAACCTGACTTTTACAAGTTCCGAGCCATGAGATTTCCACCTCTGCCCTCAGGACTCCTTTCTACTTTCTTAATGGCTCCTTCTCTCAGAAAGCCTTCACCTGGAGTAGACTTGCTCATTATTTAATCTCTCAATCCACCTAAGCACAAAAACGTAGCAGAAGTTTGATGTTCACACTCTGACAATTCTGATAAGCAGTAACTTGCCCAAGCTTGATCCTGGCAGATGACTCTTGTCTCTCCTAACCATTTCCCTCCTTACACTAGATCACTGCATACCAATAAACCAATTCCCTTTGGTCCAACACAATGCAAAGATGCTTTTCAATATTAAAAATATGTGTCCTTTGATGGAGCAAAGGGTACAGACCTCCAGTCTGTGGTGTGAAATTCCAAGAAAGACAACTGATCCCCCCTTTGCCAGAGGGTTATCAAGTCCAAAGCCTTTTTGGAATGATAAAATCCCTGTTGCACTCCTTAGTTCTTCCAGCAACTTCGAGCCACTTCTACTATTACAAAACCAAATAACTGAACACTGAAATGGTTATGAAATGATGCAGTAAAATTTCACCCATTTCTGCTATTTCTTTAGGAAAGCAGAAGCCACAAGTCAAAGCAAAATGGCTGTATGCCACTGTGTATTTAGACATTATTAAGACATAACTATGGCTGTGGCAGCACCATAACTGACTGCTGGACAGGTATAAAAACTATGCAGCCCCTCCCTAACAAAACTTCTTTCCTTTTCCAGTATCTGTTTTAGATTAAAAAATGAGAGGCAGGTTCTATAAGCCAGTTGTTCCCTGGCTTAATTAATTACTAGATTTTTTTCATTAGTCCAGTGCATAACATCTGATCTCTTAATCATGAATAATAAACAGGTCTGTTGATTTAATTGTCTTTGGAGGTTGAAACCTATCTGAATCTGGAAAAAGAAAATATTTCTACTGGTTTTCTACAAAAGGAATTATGACTATTGGCCAACTTTGCACCCAAAGTTACCTTTAAGACACATTCCCTCTCTTGGTTAGCTAAAGGATCATTTCCTGAAGTATCTCTCAGGGTTACCTTCTTGCTTTGAATAGCAACCAGACCAGTTATCTCTATCAACATAACAATTATCTCCATCAGTCAGCCAGCTGTGTCCACCCAACAAGCAAACAAACCAACAGCCCTCAAGGCAGACAGCTGCTAAGAGCTTTCCAATCCTACCTAACCCAACATAATCTTCTGCTTTGGCCTTGCAGACCTTCAAGGACTGAGGTGGCTGGCTCCCATGGAGGAGGT